TGCACACCCTCTATATTCAGCAGCAGATGCCACCCCTAGCTGTTACTCCTCACCTTGGATGCACAGGACGATAGCGTTGGGGTTCTCCATGTACTGCTTGCACAGCCTCCTTATCGACTCCCTCGTGTCTGGCGACATCTCTGTCGTCTGCGTCTGCAACCGTTGCCGCCGGCAACCAGAGTTGAAATTAACATTAATCACCTCTCGATGAGCATCAACCGCTCGTAATTACAGCTTAATTGCATCAATTAAATTAGTTGACGATTAATTTAGGATAATTGTAGTTTAGGTGAATTAATTAGATAACAAGACTGACTAAATTTAGATTAAATTAAATTAAATTTTAAGCGGGCATGTTAGCAGCTATATTGCGTTAGCATCCAGGGCCTGTTTTCGGAAAGAAAATTAGTCCTAACATTGGACGTAACAATAACATTTCCTCGTAGACCGCCGGCGGAATTTTCTTTCGTAAAGTTTTTCATTCGCGTAACTTTACGAAGTTTTCGATCAACGGTCCAACAAAAAAAAGTCGATGTTAAGAGTAATGTTACGACTCATTTTGTTTCCGACAATGGTCCCCAGTGCTGCCATACATTAACCACTGCCCATCACCTCAACAATATAGATGTGGGTGAACTCAATACATCAGCATCTACACTACATTAGTCCACCTCCAGAAGAAATATGATCTAATCAGTATAGACATGGGTGAACTCTACTTCGAGCTAGGCTGACCCCAGGAAATTTTTTTATATCAACAATATAGGCGTGGGTAACCTGTACGTGTGGACAGATACACTGTACTAGGCTGACTCCACTAGAAATTCTATCTCAACAGTATAGACGTGGGTAAACTCTACACCGCACTAGTCTGAACCCCCGAAAAAAGTATCTCATCATCAGTATAGGCATGCGTAGCCCCTATACGTGGAATCGTGTACCGGAGAGAAATACACATTTTTCCGGAAATAGCCGAACGGTAGTAGAGCGCAACTTCGGGATCGCTCGGGTCCATAATACACACGTGTACACATGTGTACACATTGTGAACCCTAACCCTAACCCTAACCAGAAAAATAAAAAAAATAAAAAAAATAAAAAATAAACAGATTAGATTGGAACCAACGACCTTTAAGACGTAACGACCGCGCTCTACGAGCTCGGCTATTCAGCATTATTGAAAATAGCACATGACATATGCTAAATAAGCAAATACACTGGTATGTAAAATGTGTATTTCTCCCTGGTGCACGATTCCACGTATAGGGGCTACGCATGCCTATACTGATGATGAGATACTTTTTTCGGGGGGTCAGACTAGTGCGGGGTAAAGCTTAACCACGTCTATACTGTTGAGATAGAATTTCTAGTGGAGTCAGCCTAGTACAGTGTATCTGTCCCACACGTACAGTTTACCCACGCCTATATTGTTGATATAAAATATTTTCCTGGGGTCAGCCTAGCTCGAAGTAGAGTACATCCATGCCTATACTGATGATGAGATACTTTTTTCGGGGGGT